AAAAAAAAAAAAAAAAATTCAAAAGAAAAGAAAGTCAATCTTTTGACGGGTCCGTATGAAAAAGAGACAAATTCCATAAAGGCAAGGACAAATAAATAAATTAAAAAGTCTCTATTTGCTAACAATCGTAATCCAAGTTGACTATTAACTGGAAGAAAAAAAATTCATGGTTTCTGGATCTGAGACTCAGACCACAAAAGAAAAATGACCAAATGGTCAATATGCATGCTCCCTCCAACTGCTCTCAATATCTACTTCACAAGAATTTTCAAACCCTTTCTTTCAAGATTGAATTTTATATATGTTGGCACCATCGTGTATTCTTGTTTTTATTAATGAAATTCATTTCTTTCTTTGTAAAAAGAAAAAAAGATTAAAAATATATTTTTTGGACCAGCAACTTCTGTTTTATTTTGAAGTTTTAATTTGGACTAAAATGGATAACCACGCGCATTATCATTTATGGCTATCTATTCCCAATAAGTAAAACCGAAAATAAATGAATTAATAATCATAGTGTTGAACTTATTACAACAATTTTTCCCTCAAATTAATTAACACCAAAATTCAATTCTAAAAATAAAAAACAAAAAACTTAATGGCAAAACAAAAGAGTCAGTAGTTGGGTTTTGGTTTTGGGGTATGTCCTTGGGGTGACCTTGCAAGGCGAAGCCACTTCTGTTAAGTTTAGGATTCTTAGAATTGGCTTTCCTTGCCAAATATACACTTTCATGTAATTTCTCTTAGTTCATCTTTAGAAATTAGGCATTGGGTATTTGCTACAAAGTTGAAGTATGTTGACGCTCAAAAATGGTTCGGCACTTTTGAGGCCAACTTAGTGATGAGGTGTGATTGATGATGAGTGAAGGTGAGTACCTTCACCAAGCGTGTGAGGATTTGAGCAAGCGATAAACATACAAAAGACAAGATATACGTGGTTCACCCTTAATGAATGGGCTACGTCCACGGAGAAGTATATTCTCATTATTATAATATTGTGTATTTACATTTGTACATGGGGTTGGACCCAAATATAAAAGTAAGAAAGGAGAAAGCCATGACTAAATATCAAGCCCAGCCCAAGGGATCCTTTTCTAAGGGGAGAGTGGTCTCCTTTTATAGGTGAGGGGGAGCCTTCACTTCTTGTAATATTCCAATGTGGGACTCTTTGCTTTGCCTAGAGTTGCTTCTAGTTGCTTGGTAAAATATGGTATAAACAGAAGTCCCCCAAGTTCTCAAGCAAGGAGGTACTCCTTGGTTGAGGACTTGCAATTTTTAGTGCATTGACCGAGCAACACCTTAGTCTTCTTTCCAAGTAGTGTAGATCTCGGGGGTCGGCGTGTCATTAGAAAGCAGAAGGCGTCGC